GGGGGGGGGTTCAGCTTGGCAGTCACATTAATGGTGGAAATCTGTGGAAACGATTTGCCTTGGTATTCTTTGGACAGAGGCGTGTAGACTCTTTATTTCCACTCCACTGAATGTATTGCGAGATGTGAGCACAACCCGTAATTATCCAATCCAGCGTGAATGTCGTGGAGCCGGCAGCAGAGTAAAAATTAAGCCATCAGTCAGAACGTAACCTCATATGTCAGCCTTTTTTTTCTTTTTTTTTTGGATGACAGCATGCTAAAGACCCCACCCCAAAAAGTTTGCAACGGTGTTGTCGAAACTTTGCGGTGACCTTTGCACAAAGCATTACACGCTAGACACCGTCAGGTAAGCTTCCCATGGCATATAAATGGCACGATAAAGAGTGAATTAACGTCTTGAGTCGTTCTTAATGTCACATTTGCTTCTCTGTGACCTTGCACGAAGCGTTCGCCTCACATCTCACTCTGATGATAGACGGCTGCGTTTTTGCTTTATGAGACTTTCATGCTCATCCCCGCCCTCATATGTCACAGCAGGTGGCGGGCTGACACCTCGACGATTCTATCGACGCCGCCGCTTTCAGGCAATGCTCGGAAACGTCTCCTTTTGTCTGCTATCAAATGGAAATATTTTGCTTGCCTTTGCTCGGCAATCATTTTGAGCACTGTATAAAAAAAGGTACATTGGGATAGATCGCGCGGACGTGGCTTTTTGCATTTACAACTTTTGCGTCAGCGTGTGCCATCTATTTTGAATTAAATGAGCAAGTAAGCCAGATGACGACGCTCGAAACGGAGCCACAAAGGCTGGGATGCGTATCATTGTGGATGCATTGTGCCTCTCAAAAAGCCTGTCGTGCCATCTGGATTTGTTTGGAGGAAATCCTGCAAGGCACATATTTTCGAAATACAAAGTGGAAATATGTTTGGGCAACATCTTTTGCACTCGCTCTCCGCTTTCCTCCTAATGGGCCACAGCATCCGACGTTGGCTTTTGCCGATGCTGCGTGGTCACCGTTAAGACAGCATAGTGCCTTGAGATACAAGCGGCCCGATTTTCAACATACGAGCTGTCGTTCAGACCAGTAAAATGGAGCCAGGGAGTCACATGACGGCACATCGTCTCTGCGGCCCGAAACAGAAGCAAAGTGTTCAAAGTGACGCATTTACAATGAAAGGCGACAGAAATAACAGAACGGTGGCTGCGGGCCGTGCACTGTTGTCGATGTCTGTCTAAAAAACGACGACATTTCAGTCGACAAGAACTGCACTTGAAAATGTTGCCATTTTCGATGTAATCTTGAGCAATTTGAGATTTGGCTATTGCACGTCATCAACCATTCACAACCATGTTCTGATTTGACTCATCTTCTTGGCATGACTGTTTTCTGCATAATTCATGCATTTTGCCCCGGGTCCAGTGTGTAGAAAGAGATGTTTTTGCGAATAAAGATGCAGTTGGGGTTTTTTTTTCTCCTATCCTGAATCTAATCCTCTGATATTGGCTGATAGGTGAAAACAACAAAGTGACCGGCGGCGGCACCATCGCAACACAAAATCATGAAGTCATGCTCATGTGTGCCAGACTGACAACCCAACACGCAAACGTGAAACAGAGAAGGCAGTTTATGTCCCAACTGCATTCAGGTCACACGGGAAGTGAGCAAACTGTCAACCACTCACCTCAACTTATCACTGCGAATTGTTACCGACACTGCCAACATCATGTGCAGCGCTCCACACTCCCCATAATTTTTTTTTTTTTTTTTAATGAGGGAGGAACGGCAGCTCATATCTCGAAAAACTCACAAGTCGGGTCGCTTGTATCTCAAGGCGCCACTGCATGTCATTTAAATCAAGATTTTAGAAAGACAAAGTCAAAACGTAGCGTGAAATCGAGGGCACAGAATAAAGACGCTACCCTCTTAATGAAATACTGCAAGTTGCCACGCGGACGTCTTTCTTCTCAAATCGAGAGAGGCTAAATGAAACTGAACAATTGATGACAACCATCTCAGTGGATCAAAGTGGAGTTGTGCTCGAGGAAGTTTCCTGCAAATTTCCCTGCTGTATCTCACTCGGAGTGCCGCTGTCTCACGCGGCAGTCGGAAGAGGAATTTGGGACTAATTAACATGTCGGAGCAGGCTGCTTCCTTCTGAGCTACTACGGCACTGATTGGCACCTGGTCTCCAACCTCAAGCATTTGAAATGCACTCCGGCACATCTTCAGGCAGACGTGCTGTTTATCCAAAGTTCTATCTTTGGGTCCACGGAACAAATGTATATTCATCGACTGGAATCGAAACATTTACTGCCATCGACGTGTATATACCGGTATCGGCCAAGTGCATTTTTTTTTCCAACAGGTAGACATGGAAAGAGGTTGTTTGTGAAGTTCAGAATTGTAAACCGCAGGAATGACAAACAGATCGCTGCCAAGGGCAGCTTTGCCTTGGATTTGGAATCAGCACCGCTTTTGAGTAGAAAATAAGCACATTAAGTTGCCTTGTGTGTGAAATACGCTCCATAGATGCTTGCCTTGCCTCATATCGTCACAGAATAGAATATTCTGCGGGACTCGCAAAATGCTGTAAAACGGCAAGATATGGGAACTGCTTTGAAAACGGCTGGCAGCGGTTGAGTGAACAACCTGTCATTTGTTCAAGATGTACGACCTTCTGCAAGGGATCTACTGAATGAAGGCAAGGCTCACAACGAATGCCAAAAACACTGATGGACAATATATCAATGCTAAGTTTGGCCCATTAAAAAAAATAAAAATAAAAAAAATAAAAAAAATTGGGCATTAGCTCCACATTGCTTTGCTTTATACATCCTTGGCATGCAAATATCTAATGCACCAATAATCAACAGCAAACAAATCAGCCCATCTGCTCTCATAAAAGCAAGTTGCAATCAATGGCAAGCATATGTCGGCTCATAAATCCAGCGACATTATGGAGCAATTTAGCAGGAGCGGTTTTAGGCATGGGGTACGGCGATAAAACCCGCACGATTCATGCGGATAATAAATTGAATCTTGGGCGGCGCAGCAGCAAAGGCGAGCGGAGACATTAGTCGCCTCCCCCCACCAAAAAACGACTCCGAGTACTGTTACTCGATGAGCAAAAGCAGATTGATGGAAGACATCATTAGGACTGTATAAGCGCACAAGCGGCAGATTTACTTCCAGTAAATTGGGATCATCGGCATCTGTTCACGCCCTTCATTATTGTTCGACAATTATTAGCAATCATGTGACTCCTGTAAGTGCGTGTATGTGTAAAAAGTCTTCCCAAAAAAATGACGTTTCCTCATTTTCATTCGGTAATAACCCAATGACATGTCCTCAAATTGACCGATTTGTCCTCGTCACCTTGTCGGATGCTAAACACATCCACGTTCCACTTTTCACTTTTTTAACGGGTCATGCGCAGTGATGTATTGGACGACGACCCACCAGCGACTGTGAAGGTCACGTGGAGCATCCGCACACATGCTAATGGAACACAAGCTGAGCTAATGGAGCTCGAGTAATACATATTGACACTCTGGAATCATTACAGTGAAAGCCAGGTCTCGGGGTGGCGTGGCACTTGGTCGACTTCATTTTTCCTCATCTGTTTCCTCTCATCTTCTCCGCTTTCATCCTCCATTACTGCAACACCTGCAATACCGGATCAATATGGATGCAATTCTCGGTCATATCATCTTTTTACGCTTCTCCGTCTTGGTAATTAATCGCCTGTATATATGTTACCGATAGTATCAATAAGAGGATTCATAGAATTGTGCACTGAACAATTTTTTGTAGTCTTTAAGAAGTTTTTTTTTTTGTTTTTTTTTTTCGATGATGACAGCCCTAATCATAATGCAGGGAAGATTCACATGTAAAAACGTCAAACATAATAGGATCATTGTGATCATTATCAAGCTTCCAAGCTCACTCAGTTGGAAAATGTCAACTTATGTAATGATTTTCAATGAAGTTGTGAGGGTATGAAGAACTGTGTTAAATTCTCCTGACTAATCGACGGTGAGCTGCATGTCATTGGCAGAGAAATGAGGAGTAAGTCCATGGTGGATTGGACTCATGGATAAAATGGCCACACAGGCGCATGTACTGTTGATTGAGAATCCGAATCACATTTATTGTCATTGCATACAATTGAACGCAAGAGGGGGCCAAGTACAGACCCTTGTGGAACGCCTCGTGGATTTTGTGGTATTGATTCACCGACGGTTGTTTTTCTGCATGAGACGAATATTCCAGCAGAAATAAAAACGCAACGAAAACATATTTCTTAGATGAAGACTATGCTTTGAAATATATCTCCTCACAAACACAAACACAAACACACGCACACACACTTGTTTTTAATGAACCGGAAACATGGTTAGTGTCAGCGTGCTTTTAGCATAAAAATGCTATGTGGCTGTATTTCAAGGTGTTTAAGGCTGAGATGGGCTGATACACATTCTGAGTGGTTCAATTACGTGTACTTTCTAAAAAAAGACATAAATGGAAGGTTATTCTGAGCACGACACAACAAGCAAATGGCACCCATTTGGTGTAATAGCCCTGCTCCAGAGTACACAACTATACAACTATTTACATTTATGTATGCTTTCTACATAGGGAAATGTTTTATAGATATATATATATATATATATATATATATATATATATATATATATATATATATATACATATAGTGATTGGATTAACAGTCTCCAGGCATCAGTAGTCTCAATGTGGCTGACCTATATACCATCCTAACGTTTATAGCTCACGTCGGAGTAAGGGACTCCTTTGATTGAGCATGGATAATGGGCAGGACAGAGATGCATTGTAAAGCACTATCATGCTGGCTCGTAATTGCCTAATGACTTTAATTAAACTTCAGTCTCTTGTTCCTGACAAATCACGCTGCCCCACAGGTCCCGGCGCTCGCATAAACGGTGGCCCGCGTGACTTTCTGCCGTTGTCAGCAGCCTATTCTAAGGAGTCAAATGGCGCCTCTTGTTGGGATCCAAACACTGTACACCCAAGCACTGCCATCCAAGATAATTTGTCACTGCCTTTAGTCAACTGTCGGCAAGTTATCACACCAAATAAATCAGGACTCTCCTAAATAGCCACCAAAGGCATAGCATCACCCAAATTAATTATGGGTTTATTGCACGTTGTCACTTTGTAATTGCCTCCTGGTAACAGTTTTCTGCAGAGGTTGTGTTTCGTTCATTGTTACTCAAACAATGGCCCACTGTAGGCGGTGGACATTTTACAACCGCTATAAATAATAATCATGCATTATCATGCCTGTGTGTGTGTGTGTGTGTGTGTGTGTGTGTGTGTGTGTGTGTGTGTGTGTGTGTGTGTGTGTGTGTGTTTGTCTCTATATTTTTTTTGCATAACTAATTAAGATTAAACATATTCTTTGCAGAGGCCAAACCAGGCACAGAGGCAAAGCCATTAAATAAACCTTAGATGCAAGGTAGCTTAATATGCTGAGCAGTGGCAATAGTGGCCTCTGCTGCTTCATTTCATAGTTACAAGGAAGACATAAATAATACATTTTAAATGCACTTTTATGAGGAAATTACAAAACATTGAACTACTGAACCCATAACAGTGACTATTCATGGAACCCATACACACCATTTTCAATTTTGATGAATATGTGGTTTTATTGTCCCCAAATTCCCAATGTAAGGCTTTTTTTTTTTTTTTTTTTAGCATTCAAAATGTAGCTAAACAAGTTCTTAATTCTGCTGCGAAAAAGTCATTGCAGTTCATTTCTACTGATGAATTGATGGAGATCAAGACAAAAGTGATCATGGCAAGATGTGGGAAAGGAGGCATGCTGGAGTCTGTGAGTGCAAGGACATCCACCCGTTGGGAATCAAAACACTAAAGATTAACACACACAAAAGAAAAAGATCATAGGCGGTCCCGGTTGGGAATACAAAGTAGATTTGCAGTGATTACAGAGGTGGCGTTTTGTGCTCTGCTTTTCGATACACCATCGAGAGATCAATATCCACCAGCTGTTTGTTTTCGCGACCGGTGGGCTGCTCCACGATAACGTATCGGCGCTTGGACAAGATACTGCCTGACATGTTGATGCGACTGAGCGAGAAGGTGGAAAAGATTTGAATTACTCCCCCAGAGGAGATGCAAGAGCCGTGCATTAATAGCAGAAGCTCGGCAACAGATCAGCATTGAAATGATTACATTTGCGTAATCTCCACACAAATACGGCGGGAGACTGGAAGAAAAAGATTGCTTCCTGCTGATTTTGTGACAGGAGTGTTGGAGATAGTGAGCGCCGAGCGTCATGGTGGCTTATCTCGGCGAGAGGTGGAAAATGCAATAGGAGACCTATGTGGATGCAAGTTCGTCATCGCCGCGTTTGCATTGTGCCGGCAACGTGGCGGCGGATGTCTTCACTTAACGACTCGGGTGAATATGAAAAAGTGATCAAGTGCCACGCGAGACTTGTTTGGCTTCCGAGAGACCACGCATTAAGACTTTCATCACGAAGCAAAAACGTCTCTTGATTTCACACTGCGCTGCACTGTATCAGAGACGCACAAGATTAGCGACAACAACGTGATTCACTCGCATGCGTGTTGAAAGTTCAAAGTTGAGTTTAAAATCAGAACCACTGAACATCGTTTTTGTATTTTTTTCGAAATTAGCAGTAGAATACGAGTCCTTCGCAGTCGAAATGAGTCTCGGTCGTTTTGAAGATCTCGACCCCCAAAAGTCTTGTTTGTGTCTTCGGTCTCGTCGAGACAAGTACTGATCGGCGATTCTTCGACTTGATAAATCCGATGATACGGACTTGGAAGTATTTGGTGAAACCTTCAATTCATTTGTAAGCAACCATCGCCGTCATTGAGCGCAACCTTTTCAACGTCAACAGAAGCGCAGGTCAGCTGACGTGAACTGGAAGTAACAGCAGCAAATCGAATTCGGATTCTGCCAAAGCACCGAAATGAGCTCTGATTTAAATCTGTATTTTTAAACTAATAGCAGGATTTATTTACTTTTTGCAAGAATTTAGTTGCAAAAATTGTTAACACTTGAGATGTTTGCAAACACCCAGTTTTTGGCTGCCAAATGTATTTCAAAGAAAAGTAAAAACAAAGCGAGAATGCACTTCGGCCTTTCAACATTGTCATGGAGTTTTTTTGGGTGGGGGGGGGGGTTCCTTTTCGAAAGCACGTGGGAAGCTCCCCATCAAACGGGTAGTGAGGGTTTCAACGAGCACGACGCATTGAGCTCTGCTTGCATTTCATGGCAAGCCGGTCATGGCTGGAGCCTTAAAGGGAAGACTTGTACATTCATTCTTGCCGCCACTGCACATCTCGCAGCAAGGTGTCAGATATGTGTGAAACAGCTTCGCACTCATCCGAGCACACGTTTGATGTGTGAAGTCATCCATCATCCAGAATCTGACAGAGGGTTCCGGTTATCGATTGGGGGGGGAAAAAAGACCAAAGAAGCCCCCTGCTCAGCATTTGTAGGATCACCAACGAAGTGAACCTCCCGCGGTTCATCTCTGTTCACAATGTACTCATCTGCTCCAACAAGTACTGGAAGAAAAAAAAAAAAAAAAAAAAAACACTTGTCCATAACTCTTTGAGTGTTGAACCACTGAACTTGACTGGCCATCAAAATAAACAAAGAAAATGCTCCTCATTGCAGATTATTTTCCCCCGTCACTGAAAAACACTTTTTTTTCGACTCATTTTGAACCTGTGGCCTATATATTGAAAAATAGAAACTTAAACTCACCAGCGCAAGCAATTACTGCCAGAAAATGCATTTCGGAGTGCCTTCCTCTCACCAGAGAGCAGACATGCACTCATTAAGATGCGATTGCATTCCACTGCTCGGACGCAAAAAAAAATATAAAAATAAAAAAAAATAATAAATCCTGAAATGAAACATTAAACAGCTTTGCTCTGCCCGTGTGAGGTGGAGTGGAATGACGATGGTGTGTGGTGTGCCCAGGGATGTGATGGGAAGGACATTGGCTGGAGGTACCAAGGTTGGCCATTTTGGCATGCAACCGAGAGCGATATCCTGCCATGTTTTAGAGCCCATACTAATTCTTCATATCACAGGAAAGTTGAACCATCCCGTGAAGAAACAACTGGATGAAGAAACTAATTACAGGGCTTAATCCTGTCTAGAGGAAACCAAGACCCGGTTGGCGCTGAATTTCTTGTATTGCAATAGCTGGAGCGAAACGCTTCATTTTCTTCATGCTGCCATTTATTTTTTTTTCCTTCCTGCGGTTTATGATGGCAATTTTTTGGTATGCTGTCTGAGGATAAAGCTGGACCGAATGCTTTAAGGTAATCCAGTATTTAATTCTCTGGAATTACTACAAAAATGATCCAAAAAGTCGAGATGACGTGACAAGCAACAAAACGGTATCTATTGTTAAACGTGCATGTTAAATATTTTTATGTTAGTTTGGGGAAAATCGGAAATGTTGCAAAGCTGGGTTTTTGTCATGCATTGATGTACTGCTGTATTTTGAAGGCAAACAAAACATGCTCCAAATGTATGGCCCACATGGTGGTATGAATGGCTTCAAGGTTAATTGAACATTCTTTTACAGGGCACATGCGGAGATGCACAATGGTCATGAAATAAATCACTTTGGTATTAACAGGGGAACCCAACTCTAATGATGTTTTTTTACAAGAATACGCTGTGTGTGCTCAGATGTCTTCCATTCTTTTACCCCCGCCTCGTTTTCACGCAGACAAAAAATGTAACGGAGCGGCTTTGTTATTTCAAACATAAAACGTGGAGAGGTGCTTGGATTTGAGAAAAAAAAAGTGATGTGTCTGGGCTCAAGATGTCAGACAGCCTTTCAGTAAAAAATGATTTCCATCCACGCTGGATGAAAAAAAAAAAGTCAGTGTTTACAATGTTATCAGTTTTCCAGCGACGGTATTTTTTGAGTCCCTGGAAATGACGCTTTTGTGGCATCGCCAACCTTTTGGAATAAACTTCTGCAGAAGCAAAATCGCCCCCGATTGGTGGACTCAGCGACTCGGCCCGATCTCGATGGCACCAATGGGATTAAACCCTCCCTTGCGCGGCCTTTGCTTGCTCGCTTTTGGCAAAAGCAGGCTCCGTTGCACGCCCGCCACATTTCTCAGTGGGTCAGCATGTGGGCAGCAGCAAGTGGAGGTCATTTTCATGACCCATTAGCGTAATGATTTGTAATTAGTGCGTGGTTCTGCCCCTGTGCACAGTACGCAGCGGAGTTGGGGACTCTGCCGGCCACTGTGGAGCAAATAGCCCGACCCGCAGCTTCACAACGCATCACAAGGTGTGTTCGGCTTTCACCGTCATGATACACCCCGCTGTGGATGTGGAGTTTGCAGGCTCCTACGTATTTGGGATGAAATCTTAACAGCGAGTTCCAGCTGACTTGAAGCGAGAGGCGGCGCACTCCCTAAAAGGGACTGATCCCAAGTGAATGACAGCTCTCACACGGAGGGACAATTCACACAATTTCTAGCCTTCAATTAACTCAGCGCCTTTTTATTTTCCATCGTGGGAGGAAAATGGAAGGCATGGAAAGAACCACACAGATAGAGGGGCGAATGTGAACATGACGGGATGTTTTTGTTTTGGTTTTTGTTTCCATCAACAATGGAAACAAGAGCACAACAATCCTATTCCAACACCAATCCTTGGCACTGTTGACTTTCAGCGCTTTCCTAGAATATCCCACATGCTTGCATGTCACTCTCTCGAAATTATTTGACGTTTTTTGTAATTTTTTGTGACATTTTGAGTGACCTAACAAAACCTCAAGGCGAGCAAATCCTTCGGGGTTGTGTGGCCAAGAAAATACGTGTGCCAAATACTTTGGAGCACTGTGCCCGTGTTGCATACTTTCCAGTCTGGGGTCTTGATTTTTTTTTTTTTTTTTTTTAAATTGTATGGAAGTCATTTATAGGGGTGTTTATACTGCCATCTGCTGGAGCTGAGGCAAAGTGATTGCATTTCATTTTCAAGTCTTATGGCAAAACTGCTGAAGCAAATATTCGTGCTCATCTCGGTATTTTTATCATATTTGTGTGGCGTAAGAAAATGCTAACTCCAAATTAATACTACATTCATGCTCAGAACTATTATATGCCAACATTGCAGCTGTATATTTCGTTTCTATTGTTTGTACTATTGAAGCAACATGGGAAAAGATATACTTGGTATGAACACCCCCCCCCTCCAAAATAAAAACATTCACAACAAATAAAAACCCTGAGTGAATAAAACAAGGTATAAAAGGAAAGGAACATAGAAGATGTGTCTTGTGCATTTTAAGTTCAGCATAAACAGCGGCTGCTTCATTTCCAAGTGAGACAGAAGGCAGACAAATTAATAATATTCGCTTAAAATATAAATGACAAATTTATTTCATCCTTCTGTTCTTAATTGCGAGTCAGCTAAAAGGAAAAATCGGATGATTTCGAGAAAGCTCAACAACGTCTTGGTTGACTGACGGCGTCAAAGAGAAGACTGAGGAGAGTAAAAACTCATCTGAATTTCTAAGCCATTCAACAAATGTTTTCATCGCCCACGGAAAACACTCCCCTCGGCAAAGTGAACTTCTTGTACGCGTTCATCAAAACTGCTCCCTCATCTAAAACATCCACGAGAAAAATACACACAAAGGAGGAAAAAAAAAAAAAAATAAACGATTTCTTCAACGCGCCGCCAAGCGAACAGATGTGTCCTCAGGTGCTTGAAAAACAAATGTCGCTGGGCAGGTTGACGACATCAATCAAAACAAAGTTTGGGCTGTAATCTCTCGCCATCTGGCGACTCGACGCTTCCCCGATATGAAATAAACTTTTCTCCCAAATGTGAGGGTGGAAAAAGTCCCCTGATGGGCATGAATAACTTACCTTTTCAAAGTGGAACAAATTTTTGTCGGAAGGCCGTCATGAAGTGGATGTTTTCGGAGCGACGACGCTCTTGGATCTTCAGAGGGAGACGGAGTTCAGACAAGTTTCGGGGATGCGAAATCCTTCGCGGCAAGCTGTGCCACTGAAAATGTTCAACAGAGGGAAATTAGAAGTTGAAGTTCTTTGTAGCGACTGGCTTGAAAATGGAATGATTTGACCTTCTTTCTTGTTCTTTGATCTACTTCTGAATGGTATAGGTTGGCAATCAAATAGGCTTTGCTTTAAACGAAACACAACTCAAATGTTGCTGGATGAGCCACGATGGTTGAGGCTACTTATTTGTCAACCGGGGCAACTCTCCGTCACGTCACGTGAGCAAAGCGCGTGTGTGCTCCGTGCTCCAACCGGCCAAAACTGACGGTGAACTTACCACTTCGATATAAAACCACAGCGGTCCGGAGAGACAGAAAATGAGGTATCGACCTCATGACACCGATATCGGTTTCATATCCACAACAGCGTCGGTATCGATATTTGGATCGAGCTCCACGAGAAGGGGGCTTGCATCAATCACCTCATACAAACTGCAAGCTGGGTGGATTTCAACAATTGAATTTATGGCGCTACACTCAAGATGGGCGAAAGGCCAAAAGATAATTCTCCAGCCATCTCAAGCGCTCCTTTAAGGAGAGACGCTAAACTGACAAGGCATACTCATGAGATGGGGTCACCAAACGGCACCTGTCCCTGAGGCTTGCCGAAGCTCCTTGTGCGCACTCTTGACTTCGAACCGAGTCTGACGCATCTTTCCAACTCTGTCTACGAAACCCTTTGAAAAGTCCTCTCGCTGGTGAAACGTCTCTTGCCAAGCAGAAAGTGAAATAATGAGCCAGATCCTTTTTGCCCCGCTCCATTAACTAAACAGTAAACAAAAACGCTTGCATCAGCCTACAATGCATCCAGCCATCTATTTTCCACGCCGCTTATCCTTCGCAAGCAGGATGATGAGGGGGAGACAAAAGGCGAGAGGCGAGCGCTTATACATGGATTTGGACTGTGGAACCGACATACCGCAAACGCTCAATGATCCTATTTGGAATTGGTCGTCATATCTGTTGACACGACGGGGTCCTTCCCGTTTGTATTTGCGCAGCTTTATAGATGTCAAAGCAAGCATGTAGGCTATCCGCTGCCGATAAAGTATTTCAGAGGGGGAAAAAGCAAGCCGAGCTCCCGTTTGTATTTGCACAGCTTGATAGATATCAAAGCAAGCATTAGGCAATCCGCTGCTGATAAAGTATTTCAGAGGGGGAAAAAGCAAGCCGAGGGGTAGCTCAATATGTAGATGGTGACATCATAAAAACATGTCGCAGAGCACTGTGCATTTTCTAAAGGGCAGCACTTTGGCCAAGGCTTTGTTAGAGTGCAGTATGGCTCCGGGACGCCACTGGGAACGGCCAAGTATCGAGAGCCAGAGCCCTGACTTGATCGCGCTTCTCTGGAGACACTCACAAATGGCCGACTACCTGCACTCCCCTAATTGAATTTGACCTCGAGTTTGGCGGCAGAGCCTGCAAGGAAATGTCAAGAGTATTCCCAAAGGTGTGCTTTTCGTCTAAGGACACTTCAGCGGAGACAAGATCAAGTTTCTGAGGCGCATGCTCTTCATTCTTTCACGCGTTGCGACAATTTCTTTGTTTGACGTTGTCGTAACGAGGTACGGAGTGATCATTTCATTGAGAAACTGACAAGCCTTGAGAGGTAAATCTGACGATGTGCATGTCTGATCAATCACGAAGACTGAACAGTACACCTATGAGTTAGTTCATTTAAAGGGTCAGGCAATATTTTTTGTTTTCCTCATTTTTGGGACGGTCTCCTGCCAGTCCATTTCGAACTCAAAATCAAAAACAACAACAGACAGAAGGACAACTTAAAAAAAAACAAAAAAAAAAACATTATTTCGCAAGTATTGTGTGCTGCACTGTGTTTTGCACTGACATGAAAACAATTTCTAAATATTTTTTAAGGATTGATGAGTCAGTTAGTTGGAATCAAATATGTCACGATACAATCGTATTCATACTGATTGAATAGATGCAGATATAAAAAATCTTTGGAATTTTCAACTCTTAAGTGATGCTCACTGAACATCGTACAGTACCAGAAACTATTTCTCTGAAAAAGAGGAGCGCGTACCTTCATTGTCAAGGTCCTCATTAAAGAAGCTGCTGAGAGGGAAGGCAGACATTGTACTTCGCCAGCAGAATTCCAGTCAGTCAGCAGGGCCAGCTTGTTAGGTGTCCAACACGCTGCCAAACTGCAACACCCACGAAACACAGAGAACTAAGTAAGGCATATTAATGACGAGGAAAAGTTTTGACTTGTAAACCTATGGGAGTAAAATCAGAAAATAATTATCACTACTACTAATGATTATGTCTTATTTTTTTTTCTCTGTCATGAATGCCTCCATCGATCTAGTTTCCTGTAGTACTTGTTCTCAAGAAGGTCATGGGTGAGCTGGAGCTGACTGTTTTTTTAAATAACATTGCGCAGTATTGCACTTACTGTGTTCCATCCTTTGAACGTAGAATTGGCAATACATATAAAAATTGTATGAATCCGGTATGACGCTAGTTTGCAATTGGTTTGGGTGCAACCGATATGCAATAATATAATCAAACCATACTTATTAATCAAACAAAACTAAAAGGCAGAAGGACAAAATATCCCCGTTTCACCGAGTATTCCACCCACTACCAGGATGTCAAATATAATTCATCCCACCTTAGTGTCTGTAGTCAAACTTGTTCTAGTTTTCAAGGAACTTCACAACAACTTCCAAATTGGTCCCAGTTTGCACAAAAAAAAAAAAAAAAACTGTACACTCGCCTCCTGACACCGTGAAGGATCAAAGCAAGTCTTTTTTGTGGAATAGATAAAAACTGGAGTCTGGAACTGCAACATTTTAGGAAATCTCAACTACAGTATAATAATGTTTTATCCAGTTAAGTTAAAACGTGTTGTGGATAAGAGCCATCATTTTGAGTGAACTGAGACAAACGGAAAATGGAAGTTAGTTGTCGGACAGGTAAGCCACAGTTTAAGCGAGGAGTTTATTGATAATGAACAGTGTGAGCGCAATATAAAGTCTGTAGATTGCTTAGGCGCGTGTGCAACTGTTTGGAACACCTTACGAATATTTTGTGAAGGGAAACCGGGGAAATTTTGAAATTGTTCAGCAACGATCAATTAAGATGGCCCTGCGCATCCGCATTTGCACCTGTGTGAAAAGTACGTTTCTCTTTTGAGAAAGAAATGAAAGGAGTCAATTGGAAATCATGTAACTTGCTTACCTGGTGGTTACGTTTTCTCTCTGTATACATTAGACGAAAAGTAACCGTCAACAAACTTTTGTGTGCTATCTAGAAATAAGACACACGAGGGGGATGTTGGGCAATGATGACGGTGTGCGGGGGGTGACGGGTAGTTTGAATGGTGCGTTGTAGTTTACTCGGGTAAATTCACAACTTATCCCGTGAACTTTCTTTTTAGGGTTTTGTTTCACTTTTCCCCTTCCTCTGTTTTCTTTTAAAAAGTATCTTAAAATTGTTGACTTATAAATATCCCTCCGATATTACTAAATGTTTCTTTCCAACGGTACAATTTGACAGGTTGTCCGAGCCGTGACATTACCAAAGCAATCCATGTCGACACGAAGTGGAAAAATGCAAATGCCTATAACAAGTGAACGCACCACTTCGCTCCACGCCATAGGTGATTAGAGGACGCTGAACTATCAGGGCGACGCCGTTTTGGACACTCCCCGCGGCCGGAGTACGCCGAGCTCTCTCTCAAGTCGGTCCGGAGCTCCATTCAACAGTGCCGAGAGCCACGTTCAAGCTCCAAGACTCGAGTTTCCACTTGCAGGCAGCCCGGAACGGAGCCGCTCCGGATTTGGACTGCAATCATCTTCGCGGTGCTAGTTTTCTGCGGAAAATTGGATTTGAGGAGAGAGGAAGCGACTTTGGGAGAGTTAACCGGTAAGTTGAGCATTTAGTTGTGATTTGGGCTCGGCTTTGCCAAACTCTTGTTGTGGTTTTTGCTTTTGTTCTGTTGCTGCAACTTTTGGACAGTTTTCCCAAACGTCGGCTTCACGACTCATTCATTCCTCTCCAATTCGCGGTGGAGGGGGTTGGGGATTGCAGTCGAGTTTCTTTGTGTTTTTATATGAATAAATTGGAATGTATGTGGACATGAGGGAAGATATTAGTGCTGTGAATTCGCAGTGTAGTAGTAGTAGTTGTAGTTCTCCTTTTGGTTTTTCCGTCTCGAGTTAATTGGTTTCATCTGGCGTCTTAGTGTGTGGTGAGATGTCCCACTGAGGAGACGCAAATCCAACTTAAATCATTCCAACTTGGGACCAATTGTTGTCCTTGCCACTATTTGTGGCATCATGGAACTTTATACATGCGCAATTTCTGCACAGAGAAACTTCTTGTTCCTATTAAAAGTTAAAAAAAAAACCTCTTAAACGGATTGTAACGACTTCCTCTGATCTGTGGATAAACGAGGCACAGAAAAGGATTACTGATATCTTACGGTGGTTAAACTTTGAGGGCGATGTCATTGACCCCAGTTTTCAGAGCTCTTTTTTTTCAGTGTTTTTGGAGTAAATCAACGGTCGTCTGTTGCATGCGTCTGAAAAAGGTATTCATCCACTTTATATACGAAGTAGCCACAGTACATAAAATTGTCTCAGACTACAGACTGGCTTCTAATTTTAATACTTATCTGTAAAACAGGGTGCCAGTAAAATATCAATGTTCTTGCTGGCTATGTTGATCGCTAATGGAAAGAATGCAAAAGCATTTTGATTGGATTAAGCCAAATCACAAAGCCTGCTGTCTCATGAGATACTTTATTCTTTCCACAAAGAGAAATGATCTGTTGTAAAACAAAACTGCATTGCTTGTTTCGGGCTCTGACTGCTCCATTCCAAGTGTTGAGATTTTTTCATCGGAAGTCAACGAGAATCTTGCTAGAATCTCACAAGACTTTTGATAAATATTATTCATGTTTTTCATCTGTATGTCCATTGGCTTCGAGGTCCCCCCCCCCCACACACACAAATCAAATATGAACTTTTTCCTGGTCAAACATAGCTGTTGATGGAAAAAGTGTGTGCAGTTCTTTATCGTTGAAATCATTTGGCTGTTCTCTGTTCTCGTTCCTTCATCAAAGGTGTTTGTGTTTTCAGTTGACAATGCTTCAATAAATGTGCCTGAAGAACTTTTCTCGAACGCAAGCCATCGAGTGGTCGAGGTGTGCGATGATGACCAAAGTCCCTCAGCCGGGTTGTTGTGGAGAATAGTGTTTGTACTTACTTGCCTTGCCGACCAAGCTATGCAGGTTGGCGTTGTGAGGCGTGTCTCATGGTAGCAGTGCTGCATCAACAAAGGTACATGTGCATTCCCAAAAGGGGGGTGGGGGGAATTAGTATCTGTGCTGAATTTACATCCATGTGGACATTTTTTTTATTTTTTGGGACCACCCTTTTACATGTTTTCACCGACTGAATACATCAAGCAAGAAGCCCAAAACGCATGGGGAAGAAAAAAAAAACTCTACAAGCAACAACAGAGAAGTTTTTTGTTTCAACTTCCAATCTTGAAACGCAATATTTTCAGATTTTGATACCCTTCGCCCATTACAATGTCATTAATCCATTCCAGCCGACCCGAAAGTCACCATTTTTTTTTTTTGGATTGAATAGTTCTGTATTGTCTAAAAAAACGAGAATACAACTCAACGTTATTTATATGGCAGTTAAAAAAAAAAAACACTGCTGGAACAAAGTGCTGTGAAAAAAAATCCGTCCATTATCTGATAAACATAATAAAAAAATACATTTTTTAAAATGATCAAAAAAAGAAAAGTACCAGAGGGGCTCAGTCTACAAATTGTGTGAAGTTGAAAAAGAGAGAGGAAGAAGACTGAAGTCTCCAACGACGAGAATAATGGCGCCAGGATGGTAGAAATAAAATCTCGTGATCAGTGCGCACGACGTCACTGCCGTTGGCTGCAGAAGCTGAAATTTGAATGAAAACAAACTGGTTTCCAACAGCCGTTAGTTTGCCCATTGGCAACATTGGTGGTGAAAATGAACTGTTTGTTATAAACTGTCGTTACTGTGGTATTTCCTTGTTGGATGTGTGCACGTAAGGGGCGTGGTCGAGCGAGTGGCATCTGACGACACGAATGTCGCCCGATTTTGAGGCGAAAGACGCAGTGTCCCATAGCCGGTGACGGACTTGTAGCGGTGTGACCCCTGGCCAGCTCCAAAACACAGAACGATATTTATTTGGTAGTCTGACGGCACAGCCATCGCCAACGACAAAAAAGTCGTATTGTTTGACAAAGGGCATTAATTGGTTGGGTTTGTCTGCGAATGAACCTCTGGGGGTGAGAGGTGGCTTAAAGCAGCACCCTGTGAGCACCTCCCACCTTCAGTCGAGTGGCGACGCATCTCATCTCACTCGTAACTCCAATTTTGGTTGCAATTCAAAGCAAAAAAAAAAAAAAATGGATCGACAGCTCTTAACTCGCAAGAATAATTTGAATTTGTCATTCTTCCACTGGCTGACATCGGTTTTCATATTTGCGTGTGGGACGCCGCTGCCAGATGAAACCCACCTAGTGGCCTGCTGCTGATCCTGCTCATGCAAAGCAGTCTGGGGGAGCATTTCAGGTGTGTTTGTACGCTCATACAGTGAGAGAATGCAAACCTTGCAGTGTGCTTTCACTCTTCACTGCTGTCGATGATTTGTGTTTTACAGTGGAACGTCGCAAGTCAACCGAGACGAGGGTCAACTTCCGATTTTGTTCATTTGTTCATCGTATAGGTTTTGTTTTTTTTTTTCCTTCATCATCTCAGAGGAACCGATCATGCAATTCTCATCTTGAGTGAAATGATTCATCATGTGAAGCCATTATTTTAGGAAGGTGCCCTAAAGCGGAGGTGTCAACTAAATTTCTGTCATGAGCCTGATTTTAGTTAGTTTCTCTTGGAGGGCCATTTTGACTGAAACCACATAAAGAAGTCAAGGAGAACGGTTTATTCGCCAATTTAAGTTACTGTTATGAGGGGTTTGGTAACAAGAACATGCATTTTCTTTAAAATTTTGGTACAGATTTTAGCAAGCATCATGAAATTTGATTTGCTTTCGCAGGCCACATAAAATGATGTGACGGGCCAGATCTGGCCCCCGGGCCTTGATTTTGACATCTGCCCTAAAGGGTTCAGATGCAATAAACCTGATCTCATGAGTGCGTGTTTGTGGTATAATCATATTGAATAATAGTGGACAGAAAAAAAAAAAAAAACCTGCAGCTTTGGCTTGTTTCCTATTGACATTATCAAAGGGCGACAGGCAGGACAAAGAGGGACTGTGACAATGGCCCGCTTCCTCTTGGCTTCTTTTATGTCATGGAACAAATCAAACAATAGTTCCCATCGTTCACCTGCTCTCGCTTTTTTTTTTTTTTTTTTTTTTTTTAGCATCATTATTATTATTATAATTGAGCCCAGTTATTAAATTGTCACCTAAAGAAACAGAACTATCGAGTAGTAATATTTGCACACCTTGAACACTCAATTTGTTGATGTCAACAATCACAATATGAACCTCTGCATTCAGAACATCTTTTTTTTTTTTAACCATGAAATGCCAGATGTTTGAAGTGGTTTGTCGAAAGGTCCATCAAGCGTGTTCGTGTACAAACTTGTACTCCCTCAAATCACGCAGAAATCCAACGCACACGTGTTGATGATTCAAGATTCCAGGTCACTTTTCCAGGCAGCAGCTTGCCGTGTGTCGGTCGCTTCAAACCTCGGTCCTCTTGTGTCCTGACCTGCTCTCCGCCACACCCATGACGTGCTGCTGCTGCTTCTGCTGCTGCTCTTCCTCCTCCTTCTCCATTCAGGAGTATTTGAATCTCTCCCCAAGCTGCGATATTGTGACTCAACTGCCATGGCAAGACCGACTCGGTCTGCAGGGCATTTTAGACTCCTTTTTAAGCATTTTTTTTACTTGGATACAGATGCCGCTGTGTTCACGCAACCGCTCCAGGGTTAAAACGCTGTCTGAATTACATGCCCGACTAATTATAGAGCCGCAACTTCCATTGACTATTGTGATTAGCTCAAGTCAAAAACGGTGACCAAACCCTTCTTGGTCTCTGCCAAGCTCCACGAGGGTTCAAATATTAGAAACGGCACTCGGGGGGTGGGGCGCATACCATAGAAAAGAGGATCGTCTGTGTCCACAATTCTGTGGTAAACAAAATAAAAGGTGGCAGTTAAGTCGTGCGCCTGTAAATAATAAATGCACATTTAATGGCGTTTCTTCACGTTGCCCTCGCAGATTTGATCTGACGGCGCTATCTGGGTCACAGTGCGCGCCTCGTATAATAA